CTTCCTTCCTTCCTTCCTTCCTTCCTTCCTTCCTTCCTTCCTTCCTTCCTTCTCTTTCTTTCCTTCTCTTTCTTTTATTTCTTTCCAGTCCTGGGCTTGAACTCAGGGCCTGGGCATTGTCCCTGAGCTTCTTTTGCTCAAGGCTAGCTCTCTACCACTTGAGCCACAGTGCCACTTCTGGCCTTTTTTGTTTATGTGGCACTGAGGAGTGGAACCCAGGGCTTCATTCATGCTAGGCAAGCACTCTACCACTGAGCCACCTTCCCAGCCTGGAAGAATATTTTCTAAATTCCAAAATTCCAATGTCTCTGAATCTTCAAGCTCCTTAGGGTCAAGACTAGTTTGCTTCTGGGGCCAGTGCTGGGAGCATCCAGCCCTGGTGTGGAACCTGGGGTGGTTTTCTATTAGGTGGACCAGGATCGTCCATCGGGACGTCCATCACCTATTGCTGCCATGTCGTCTGGAGAAGCCCGCGGCGGTCCTGGCTGCGGTCCAGCCTTTCAGGCGGATGCTTGGCCTTGTACTGCAGGTCACCAGCTTGGCCTTCACACCGTGGGCAGCAACTGGGACTGAGGAAACGCAGCCAGCAACCTGCCCACGTGTCGGAGGATGCGCCTCTCACTGCCTTAGCCTTGGCGCTCCAGCAGGCCCGGAGGGCCACTGGGAAGCCTATGGTACCTCATGCCCGGTAACAGGAGCCCTGAAGGGTGTAAGGAGCCCCAGAGTGAGAGCTCCCCTCCGTGCTGGGACAGGCCTGTGGGTGGAGGAGGGCTTTGCTCCAAGATCCTGCACCCAGAGGGATCCTCAGGTTGTCAGGTCTGCTTAGGCACCGTGGTGTGGGAGCATTTGATGTGCCAGCTGCCCTGGATGCTTCCGGGGGTGGAGGGGTGCTCAGGAGCTGCTAGTGGTCCTTCAGCTGTACCCCTCTTCAAAACATGATCGTTGGCCCTCAGCACAGAACCAGTAGACACTGTCTGGGTTTTAAGACTTCTGGGGACAGTGCCAGCCTTCTGGGGTGGGGGCTAGTATTTCAGGGATGGTCAGAGAGCGGGTTGGCTTCCTGGAGGAAGGTACTGTTGTTTGGGGTCAGTAGCTTGTATAGTAGAGTGAGGATGAGTCCCCCCACGGATGGGCACAGGGAGCCCTACGTCCTATGTTGAACCAAGGGCTGTCTGTCCAGCAGGAAGAAGCACATTTCTGACAGCTGTTAACATTTCAAATTTAAGAACAAAAAATACAAATTCCTGCTTGGCGCCAGTGGTTCACGCCAGTAATCCTAGCTTCTCTGGAGGCTGAGATCTGCGGATCCCGGTTCAGAGCCAGCCCAGGCAGGAATGTCCGTGAGACTCTCCAATTAACCACCAGAAAACCGGAAGTGTCACTGAGTCTCAAGTGGTAGAGTTCTAGGCTTGAGCTGAAGAGCTCAGGGACAGTGCTCGGGCTCAGAGTTCAAGCTCCATGACAGACAAAACAACAACAACAACAGACTGTCTTTCCAAGTGGCTGTGCTATTAGCATGTCCACACCATTGGTGGAATTCTTTTTTCTTTTTTTAAATATATTTTATTGTAAAAATACTGTACAGAGGCGTTACAGTTACATGAGTAAGGTAATGAGTACGTTTCCTGTTGAGCATTGATGCCTCCTCCTTTGTTTTTCCCCAGCCATCCTTTCCCTCCCACTGGAACACCTTCTCTTCCCCCCCACAAGTTGTAAAGTTCATTTTCAACATAGTGGCTTGTACATCTCGTTGTTACAATGGGTCAACCTGTACCCCTATTTATACATTTTGTTTTTATCCTTCCCCTCCCCAAATTAGAAAAGTTTGTAGGGCACCTACATCTTGTATATGCCATGGGAGAGGAATATACCAAAGAAACAAAAAAATCACACCATACATTATAAATACATTAAACAACAGCAAGAAAGAAAAAACCATTTGTGTCCCTCTCTTGGGGTTCATTTCACTTAACATCATCTTTTATGGTCATATGTACATGGCTTTTGACCTTTTCTGCTTGTCCTAAATTTATACTAGTTATTGCAAATAAGGGAAACCATGGGACCTATGTTTCTTTGGGCCTGGCTTACTTCACTTAATATAATTTTTTCCAAGTCTTTCCATTTCTTAATGTCATTCTTTCTGATAGAGGCATAGAATTTATATGTGTGTGTGTGTGTGTGTGTGTGTATGTGTGTGTGTGTGTGTGTGTATACCACATTTGATCCAATCACTACTGAAGGGCATCTGGGTTGGTTCCATATCTTAGCTATGGTAAACAAGGCTGCTGGTAGCTTTAGTATGGCCTTGTTTGTGCTCATTTGGGTAAATGCCCAAAAGTAGGACTGCTGGGTCACAGGGAGCTCTATGTGGAGTCTTTTGAGGAACCAACCTACTGCTTTCCAAAGTGGTTGACCAAGTTTACACTCCAACCAACAATGCAGTAGGGTTCCCTTCTGGCCACATCCCATTGGTGGACTTCTTGTTGCTCTGTCTAGCCAGCATTTGGTGGTCAGTTCTTTGGATTGGGCCATTGTAAGAGGTGTGCCATGGTCCCTTATTGTTTTAATTTATATTTCCCTTATATGGTGTGAACCATTTTTACATGTTATTTTGCACCTATAAATGTATTTTGGCTATTTTTTAACATCTGTAGTACATTTCCTTAATTGGGTTGTTTTTTTTGTTTGTTTGTTTTTGTCAGTCATTGGGCTTGAACTCTGCTCTTCAGCTCAAGGCTAGCACTCTAACACTTAAGCTACAAAGCCACTTCTGATGGTTTATTGGAGATAAGAGTTTCGAGGGAGGGGTGCTCACGCCTGTAATCCTAGCTACTCAGGAGGCTGAGATCTGAGGGTCGAGGTTCAATGCTGGCCTGGGCAGGAAAGTCCGTGAGACTCTTATCTCCAATAAACCACTAGAAAACCGCAAGTGGTGCTGTGGCTCAAGCAGTAGAATGCTCACCTTGAGCTGAAGAGCTGAGGGACAGCGCCCAGGCCCAGAGTTCAAGCCCCACGACCAACAACAAAAAAAAAGGTTCACGGAGTTTCCTGCCCGGGCTGGCTTTGAACCATGGTCCTCAGATCTCAGCTTCCTGTGTAGCTAGGATGACAGACATGAGCTACCGGCGCCCGGCTGTTTGTTTTTGTTTTTGTTGGTCTTTGCTGGAACTCAGGCCTGGTCACTGTCCCCAAACTCATTATTCAAGGCTAGCATTCTACTACTTTGAATACTTCCAGTTTTCTGGTGGTTCATTGGAGCTAGAAGTCTCACAGACTTTTCTTCCTGGGTTGGCTTTGAACCAAAATCTGTAGATCTCAGCTTCCTGAGTAGCTGGGATTATGGCGTGAGCCGCCAGTGCCTGGCAGTAAAGTGATTTTTTTGGTGGTTGAGGCAGGTGAATCACTGGAAGCCAAGAGTTCAAGGCTAGTCTGAGCAACACAGAAAGACATGGTCTCAAAAAGAAGCCAGCTTTTATAATGCTTAGGGTTTTTGGTGTGTGGTTTTTTTTTTTTTTTTGGTGCCAGTCTTGGGGTTTGAACTTAGGGCCTGGGTCCTGTTTCTAAACTTCTTTTGGCTCAAGGCTAGCACTCCACCACTTGAACCACAGCTCCACTTCCAGCTTTTTTTTTTTTTTTTTTGTAATTTCTTGGAGATGAGCGTCCCACAGACTTTTCTGCCTGGGCTGGCTTTGAACTGTGATCTTCCGATCTCAGCCTCCTAAGTAGGATTATAGGCCTGAACCACCAATGCTTGGCTAGTTATTAGTTACATACATACTCTTGGAAAAGCTTGTTGGGAATGATTAGACCTTGGGCCCTAAGCGGGAAACGGCTCCGGAGGTGCCGGGGTGCTTGCTTCTCCCCAGCAGCACGGCCCATGGTGTGGATGAGAGTGAATACCACCGTGTTCTTTCCTCAGATTCTGACTCTGGCTCAGATATGGACGATGGTGTGCTAACCGGAGAGACACAGTGCAAAAAGACGGGGGTAAACCAGAGTGGGAGCAGGCAGCCACACGGCTCTGGCCTTGGGAAGTTACAGCTCTTGGAATTTCACACACCGTCCCTGCCACCAGTGTGTACCTGTACCTGCACACACAGTGGGATGTGGGCCTGGCCTCGGGCAGGAGAGATCAGCCTCCGTCTGGCACAGTGAGAGTCGCCACCAGGGCCCTCCAGTGTGCTAACCTCAGCACAGGAAGTAGCATTCTGGACCCTTGCTAGTCTTCAGGACAGACCTGTGGTTGTATTCTCAGGCCCTGTCCTGCTACTGACCAGTGAGCACATCAGATAGTGCTTTGGCTCTGCTGTTCTGGACAGGTACACTAGCCTCCAGCACTTGGTTGTCCCCACATAGAAGCAGCCTGGACAGCCTTCACTTACTCCTCTGGTTTAGTGTAGGTATAGTTCTGTGCCTCGGCAGTGGTTTGCTGTCTGACCACGCCCCACTCGTTTACTGTAGGTATAGTTCTGTGCCTGGGCAGTGGTTTGCTGTCTGACCACGGCCCACTCCACGCGCATGCTAGGCACCCTCAGTGCCTGCAGCCTTGTCGTATGGACAGTTCTGCGCTCCACCTTTTCTTGAGTCCTAACCTCTAGGCTCAGCCACAGCCTCTGCGCTGCTGCCTAGACCAGGCCCTTGTGCTTCTGTGGGAGGGAGGCATACTAATAAAGGTGCCAGGGCTCTTTGAGGGCCTCCGAGAGCCTCCACCGAAAGTGAAGGGCCACATCCATGTTTTGCAGTATCCACGCGCACCGGCTATCCCGTTGCTGGGGCAGCAGGAGGATATCCACCGAAGTGTGCGCTACCAAGCAGACAGCACCCTTACCCCATGGACCCAGCGTTGCGTCCGGCAGGCTGACGGCACCCTCATCGTGGGCCTGGGCCGGCAGGCTGACGGCACCCTCATCCTGGGCCTGGGCCGGCAGGCTGACGGCACCCTCATCGTGGGCCTGGGCCGGCAGGCTGACGGCACCCTCATCGTGGGCCTGGGCCGGCAGGCTGACGGCACCCTCATCGTGGGCCTGGGCCGGCAGGCTGACGGCACCCTCATCCTGGGCCTGGGCTGGCAGGAGCCAGCGTGAGGAGGTGAGCGCACTCCCTCCTCAGAGTCCTGCTTCTCCGTCCTTACAAGCAGCATTCCCAGAACTCGGGGGGCCTGCTGGCTGTGGGGCACGACACTGTAGCACACTTCTCAGTGTTCGCCTCCCGGGCTCTAGCACAACCCAGCGGGTGCCACGTGGCTCCCTGTTAAAACATCATAGATATTATATAAAATGCTATCCCATGTTTAAGATTTTATTGAAATAGTGCCTTATTTTATATCATTCTGGAATTTCCTTTTTCCTAATGGTTTTGAGTTTGTCCATCCATTTATATGGGTGGATTTTTTTTTTTTTTTTGGTCGGTTGTGGGGCCTGAACTCTGGGCCTGGGCGCTGTCCCTCAGCTCTTCAGCTCTATCACTTGAGCCACAGCACCACTTCCAGCTTTTTCTGCTGAGGAATTGAACCCAGGGCTCATGCATGCTAGGCAAGTACTCTACCACTGAGCCACCTTCCCAGCCCTGAGGGTGGATTTTTAGCTAGTCTTTTTTTTTTTTTTTGGCCAGTCTTGGGATTAAACTCAGGGCCTGGGCACTGTCCCTGATCCTCTCTGTGCTCAAGGCTAGCAGTCTACCATTTGAGCCACAGTGCTACTTCCAGCTTTTTCTATTGATAGAGTACTGAGGAATCGAACCCAGGGCTTTGTGCATGCTAGCTGAGCACCCTACCACTGAGCCACAGTCCCAGCCTCCATTCATTTGTATACTATTTGGTTTCCTATTTGTGAGCACTCGACAGAAGGCATTGGCTCATGTGTCCTCAGTCAGTGGACTGTGAGGTTACTGTTCAGAAACGACATGTACACAGTGCCTTCCGATATCCAAGAGCCGCTGCCCAGCGATGTGCCTTCATGCTTACCAGATGGTGCCAGGTTGCTTTCCTGGTTCATGCTCAGTTTTCTTTGTGTGCGGCTGCAGGTAGAGCCACAGGGCTTCATCCCTGCCCTGCCCAGTACTGCCCTTCCTCAGCCTGCTTCTCTTCTCCAACTCTGTGGTGTGATGGGTTACGCTTCCCACCTCCTCTCTGTTCCACTGTTCTGCCCTCATCTTTGGCTTCTGCCCAGCCTGTTTAATCCTTGTCTCTGCTGTATCCTCCTATTCTTCAGGAGTGATGCTCTCCTGCGAGGGTAAGTACCTGGAAGAGATCGTAGTGTGTCCCCTGTCCTCGCACTTGCTTCCCTGAGCCTGACTGCCGGCACACACGGGCAGAGGCTGTGGTCAGAGCACCTCTCCCCAGAGAGGCCCACTGGTCACAAAACCAGGGAGCCGCTCATTGAACCCACCCAAGGCTTTCTGTTGTGTGTGGGGCCCGAAAACAGGACAGTTTCCAATGCAGATCTTGGTGGCAGGCCTGTGCTGATCTTGGCTCTGCCATGCCCTCAGTCCTGAGACTAACCTGAGCTAGCTGACTGGGCTCTGCTCCCCCCAGCTGGAGCGGACGCTGGAGAACACAGCCATGCGTGCCCAGAGACGGCTGACCCTACTGCACAGGAAGAGGGGCCTGCGCCAGCCCACGCCATGCAGCGGCTCAACACGCAGAGCTGGTGCTCTGGCCACCTGCACCTCCGCTGCCCACGCCATGTCTTCTCCAGGAGGAGCTTGCCCAAGCTGGTGAGACCTGGTGGGCTTGGCCCCAACTGCATCCTCCTCTGATCTCTTACCTCGTGGCTTGTGCATTCAGAATCATCTCCCTCTTTCTGTTGCCCAGCATTGGAGCTCTGTGAGCTCTGGTTCGGAAGCTTGCCTCTGCTGCTTCTGAACTCTCTACAAGTCTGTTTGCTTGACCATGACTTTGGTTTTCTTGGGCCCCCGAAGAGTCCTGTGTCCCGCAGATGAGGGGAGGTTCATCCTGGTGGAGCCTGGGGACCAGTGGATCCAGAAAGATGGGACTGACGGGTCAGGAGGTAACCAGGGACTAAGCTGAAGATGTCACTTTCAGCAGAGACCCCCCCTCACCCCACCCAGCAGAAGCTGACGCACCCTTGGTACCTCTTCCCGAGAGGGCCCTTGGTCCACCGGCCCAGAGGGGAGGTGGGGAGGGATCACTGGGGCTGTCCACATGCCTCATCTTAGTGACAGTGTCTTGGCAGCCGCATCTCTAGCTAGACCTGGCAGGGTCACTCCTGTGGGAACACCTCCGAGGGGCTTGCATAGTCTAGCGGCTCAGCATTTCCTCCGGGCAAACTTGCTCTCTCCTCAGCGACCCTAGGTTGCCTGTGGGCAAGTGCCATGTGTTCTGGGGAGGAGAGGACCGTCGGTGAGGAGCGAAGAGGCCCCCAGCAGTGAGGACGAATAGGGTGCTGGCTAGGTTTCTGCACAAGCATGTCATCTTTCGGCTCCTCTCAGGTGGAGATGGACGCGTGTGTCTTCCAGAGGCCTCCAGACCGGCACTTGGACCTCTCCCGCTTGGCACAGGTGCTGACGGGCAATGCCATCGCCTTGGTTCTTGGAGGAGGGGGTGCAAGGCGAGCCCTGCGGCCAGGTGCCGCTCCACTTGCATGTGCAGGCGATGGTTACCCCACAGGTGACAGGAGCGGGGGTGGGGGAGGCCACAAATGGAGAGACCCTACGAGCACAGCGGGCCTAAGAGTGCAGCGGGCCTAAGAGCGCAGCGGGCCTACGAGCGCAGCGGGCCTAAGAGCACAGCGGGCCTACGAGCACAGAGACCCTAAGAGCACAGCGGGCCTACGAGCACAGCGGGCCTACGAGCACAGAGACCCTAAGAGCACAGCGGGCCTAAGAGCACAGCGGGCCTGCGAGCACAGCGGGCCTACGAGTGCAGCGGGCTCTGTCCTCTTCAGGAGATCCCACGCGGGGCGGGTGCGGCTGGCTTCTGAAGCCCTGGGTGCACATGTGCGGGCAGACCCAGAATGCACAGGGTTTGTTGTTGCCAACTGGATAAAAGACAATGTGTCTCAGATCGTCTTTGCTTAGAAGCGCTGACTTGCTGGTTAGCCACTGCTGACTCTTCTTCTGAAAACCGTCTGTTCTTTTCTTTGCCAGTGTCCCCAGTGGGATCCCAGTGAGCTTCTGTGTTAACAGTGCTGTATAGATTCTCACAAACTGGACACGTTTAAAGGATTCATTGCCCAAATAGTTCCTACCTTGAGTTGTTGCCTGACTCTTGCCACCCCTCTTCTGAACCTAAAGGGAAATGGAGGCTAGGCGCGTGTGTGACAGGGTGAGACCCTGTGCATGATGCTGCCCTCCCCAGGAGCTGGCCCGCCAAGGCCCTGTCCTGGGCACCGCGGCGGCCTGGCGGGGTAGGCGGGAGCGGGTGCTGTACAGAGCCAAGGCCTCCCAGCTCCGACACCCCACTCTGCCTGATAGCACTGTGCTCACTCAGTTGGGATCCCAGGGTCTGGAAGCCCTCCGCCTCATCTTCCCCTGTGCCTTATGACACTTGTACGTTTAGAAGACTGGTCTGGAGGGAGAGAGGCTCACGTCCTCCCTGTGGATCCAGAGAGCAGGGAATTAGAGCAATTAGATCTAAACCCTTGCCTGGCATCTGGGCTAGATTGACTGCATTTTGAATTATAATGGCCTTTTTAAGATTCTGTGCATTCATTTTTGCCTGTTCTGGGGTTTGTACAAAGGGCCTCCAATTTGCTTGTCTTGTGTTGCACGGCACCGGCACCTTTGGTCCATACCTCTATCTTGTTTTGTTTTTACCAGTCCTGGGGCTTGAACTCAGCCTGAGAGCCATCTCTGAGCTGCTTTTGCTCAAGGGCAAGCACTCTACCACTTGAGCCACAATGCCACTTCTGGCCTTTTTGAGTAGTTTATTGGAGATAAGAGTGTCATGGGCTTTCCTACCCAGGCTGACTTCGAACCATGATCCAGATCTCAGCTCCCTGAGTAGCTAGGATTACAGGCATGAACCACTGGCACCTGGCTCAGCCTTTTTTTGTGATCATTTTGGTGATAGAGTCTGAAGGACTTTTCTTCTTGGGCTGCCTTCAAACCCACATTCTTGATCTCAGCCTCCCAAGTAGCCCGCATTACAACGTGAGCCACTGGTGCCAAGCTGAAAACAGCATGTTAATCAAGGTACACTTAAAAGTCATGTGATTCTGTAAGGCATACTAAAAAAAAAAAAAAAAAGCATTCCTCTGTCTATCCCAACCACAGTGCCAAACCTAGAGATTTCCCAGAAATATTCACTTCCAGTTGTTTTTTTTTTTGTGGTCAGCTGCTTCTCTGCATTTCTAAATAGTATTCCTATGGGACTAATTGTGTGGCCTTTTTGGTTTTAGATAATTGACTTCCTAGCCCTTTAATATATGGCTTGTGTTAGTCTGTGCACCTCTTCATCATGTGTCTGTTGTTCTACCTCCTACCCCTATTTACAGTCCCTACTTGTCCAGCCATGGCTTAGCTCTGAAAGAGTCACACCACCATGATGTCACACAGCCAGCGCTGGCTGGACACGTAGGGACTATTCTAGGAGCCTCATGTGTCCTTTTATCTTCCTTCTTTACTGAACAGACTGATGTACACGTGACGGATGTGTACATGTGCTGTGTTCACCTACTCCTTTGTTGATGAGCACTGATTGTCTGCCTCTACCTCTCAGCTCCTCGGGTACTTCAAGTACGGTTGTGTTTGAGATACCTGTGTCTGGAGTCTCTGTTGTCTGGTTTTCCTGTGGGTCCACTTTTGCTGTCTGTTCTCCCCCTTCCCCTGGCCTTATGGTCATGCAGTCTTTTCTTCTGGTAATGACTGGTAGTTTTTCGGCTCAGTAGCACACATTTGGCATGAAGGTGGTAACGATTATTTGAGGCTCTGGATGGTAACTTCAGTCTGGGTTTGAAGATACTCTGCGCTGGGTTCCTGGTTTCTGTGAGGCCAGTCCTTGTCCAGTTTGCCCTTCTAGGTATTTACTAGGACCTCTCCTTTTCAGCCTGTTGGCGTCCCAAGTGTTTATGGGTAGAAGAGCTCCCACAGTGGTGCTCCCTGGCTGTGTTCCTCCTCCCCATCTCAGACCAGAGTCTCCTCAGCATCTCCAGATAGAAGAATTTTAAATTACGTTGAGATTTCCTCTCTGAGCCAGCATCTTTGCAGCATTGTGTAGGAACTGAGGAGGGACGTGCAGGCAGCCATGGGCAGCAGACTCTAGGTCATATGGAGGGGCACAGCTCTGCGGCTGGCCTGGAAATACTTCCCTGTGTTTCTGCTGGTGAAGAGGCTGTGCCCAAGTGGGCGTTCTCAGGCCCCTGGCAGAATGTGGCATCCCTGTGGACATGGTTGGAGGGACCTCTGTTGGGGCCTTCATGGGCGCCCTGTATTCTGAGGAGCGGAGCTACAGCAGATGTAGGTCTGGGCCAAGCAGTGGGCAGCGGTGAATCCAGCGTCACGGATTTGCAGGGCTCATCGGAGTCCCGGGAAGGAAAGGGTGCGGCTAGGGTAGGAGATGGTCTGAGGTCCATTGTGGGAAATGATCTAGTGGGGACCAGGTCCCCGCTGGGGGAGGTCACTGAGGGACAGCATGGTTAGACATTGCTACTGCAGGAGGAGGTGGTGTTACAATCCCCGTAAATGATAGTTTGGGGACGGGGGCAGCAGAGGCCTAGGACTGGTCGGGAGTGGAGAGCAGTAAGGTGGAGGAAGGGAGGCCCGGCCTGGAGTGAGCAGCTTCAGATCAGCTTTGGGGGTCAGTCCAGCAGGCTTGGGAGTCCCCTCATTGCCTGGTCCTTGCCCTGGGTGATTTAGGAGGGGAGAGCATTACCGAGGCATGAATCAGACCATGGAGGGGTGGGGCGCAGGCTGCGTACCACAGCGAAGATGTGAGCTACTTTGACCAGTAGCCTGGCCTCGTCATAAATGGATGCCAGAATGCAACATCAGGTACAGAATCAAAGGCAACGCCAGCTGCCCAGCAGGCAGGCGGCTCACTGCCCTCCTGCCCGGGCTGCTCCTGTGAAGTAAATGGTGCCTTGCTGAAACCATGCGTGGGATCAAACGCAGTCGTGTTCTACTTTTTAAAGGAAAAAAATTGGTGATGCTCTATGTTTAAGCTGAGGAATGGACTGTCTGCTGCATTCCCAAGGACGCTGACATCCCGATTCTTCTCTGTCATGTCTGTCCATCACCCCTTCGTGTGACCATCAAGAGAGAGGGCCTCTGGGTACCCTGCACCTTAGTGATGTGGCAGTGGTCTCTAGGGATGCCCCCCCCCCAGCAGTGACTGCAGGGGACGGTGGCATAGGACAGCTCAGTGAGCAACCATGGCTGAGACCAGCTCAGGGCCTGAGGAAGATCCCCTCCCTTCCCTCCCCTGCGGGTCTAGGAGAAGCCTGGGCAGGTTGGGCTGGCCCTTCCACCATCCTGAATGGAGCTGTGTGTCCCTCCCAGGGATCTCTTGCTGGCCAGGATGGTCGTGGAGCTGTGCACCTGCCTAGTTGCCATGTGGTGAGCTGGTGCAGTGGGGCTGAGCAGGGCTTCCTTGAGAACGGATTGAGGCCCTGCATGGCATCTCCAAGTTCTCTGTGTCTCTGTTGGGTTGATCACTCAATTGTCTTCAAACAGGGAGGTTCCTCACGCTACATGAGAAATGAGCTCTGGACTGAGAGCAGTTCTTGCTGCTGGCCCTCCTGCATTTGTTGCTCTACCTTGCCTGGAGCTATCTGTGCCAAGCCGGCAGATCTAGCTGGACCCTCAGGGCAGGAGGGTGCTCTAGAACTCTCTAAAGCCGGGCTGGTAAATCCTGCCCGAGAACGAGAAGGGACGTGGGACCCGGGACCTGGGCTCCATGGGAAGGTGTCCCATCTTTTAGGCCTCCACTCACTTTGCGTCTCAAGCCACGGCACATGTGCTCCTAGGGTCCGATGATCTGGGCTGAGGGTGTTCCCACGCTGGAGGCCTGAGCATACATACGCTCCTCTGCTGCTCTAGCCAGGGCGCGTGAGCCCTTTGTAGAGGTCTCCTGTGTCTCCAGAGCATGACATCGATGATGAAGACCATGCTGGACCTGCCCTACCCAATCACGTCCGCGTTCTCTGGGGCTGGCTTCAACAGCAGCAGCTGCAGCATCTTCTGGAACCAGCAGATCGAGGTGCACTGCCCAGAGATGCCCTCAGGATAACAACTACATGGGGCTTTTGTGTCTGCTCAGGACCCTCCCATCCCTCTTTACCCTCCTTACCAGGCCTTGGGCAAGCCTGGTCAGTGCAGAGTGGGGAGGAGCCCAGGAGAGCTCCCCCCCGACCTGTCCTCCCCCAGGACCTGTGGGGGGGAGCCCAGGAGAGCTCCCCCGACCTGTCCTCCCCCCCAGGACCTGTGGGGGGGGAGGAGGAGAGCTCCCCCCAACCTGTCCTCCCCCAGGACCTGTGGGGGGGGAGGAGCCCAGGAGAGCTCCCCCCAACCTGTCCTCCCCCAGGACCTGTGGGGGGAGCACAGGAGAGCTCCCCCCGACCTGTCCTCCCCCCCAGGACCTGTGGGGGGAGCACAGGAGAGCTCCCCCCGACCTGTCCTCCCCCCCAGGACCTGTGGGGGGGGAGGAGCACAGGAGAGCTCCCCCCGACCTGTCCTCCCCCAGGACCTGTGGGGGGAGCACAGGAGAGCTCCCCCCGACCTGTCCTCCCCCCGACCTGTCCTCCCCCCGACCTGTCCTCCCCCAGGACCTGTGGGGGGGGAGGAGCCCAGGAGAGCTCCCCCCGACCCGTCCCCCCCCAGGACCTGTGGGGGGGAGCCCAGGAGAGCTCCCCCCGACCTGTCCTCCCCCCCAGGACCTGTGTGGGGGGAGGAGCCCAGGAGAGCTCCCCCCGACCCGTCCCCCCCCCAGGACCTGTGGGGGGGGAGCCCAGGAGAGCTCCCCCCGACCTGTCCTCCCCCCGACCTGTCCTCCCCCAGGACCTGTGGGGGGGGAGGAGCTCAGGAGAGCTCCCCCCGACCCGTCCCCCCCCAGGACCTGTGGGGGGGAGCCCAGGAGAGCTCCCCCGACCTGTCCTCCCCCCCCAGGCCCTGTGGCTTCCCTACGTTGGCATCACTGCTGACATCACAGCCTCTGCCGAGCGCCTACACAGAGGGTAAGCACCCCTCCCAGCAGGCTGGCCAGCAGGTGGGCTAGGGCATGAACAGGCCCAGGAGGGTGGACAGGAAAGGCAGCCGTCCTGTGAGGTTGTGGAGGGTGTGAGGGCCTTACAAAGGAAGCAAGGGTCACAGACAGGGAGGGTAGAGGACGTCCTGCCTTGGACTCCGGACATGAGGAGCAGGACAGACGGACCTGGGGGAGGGGGCGGATAGAGATGAGGGCTAAGTCTGATGTCTAGCGACCCTGCGTAAGTTCCTTCAGGGATGAGGGGTCCCTGTAGTGGTGGGTGGTCTGGCTACTGAGCCTGCTGCCCGCCCTGGAGGTGAGACCATCCGCTCTCAGACTGACCAAGGCGAGACAGGACAGGAGCCCACCGTGGGCAGGCCCAGGCCTCCCTCTCCCCTTCACCAGGCCCTCTAACCTCCCAGGCTCTCGGTGGAGGGGTGTGTGTGCCAGCATGTCCCTCTTGGGCTACAGGCCCCCCTCTGCGACCCCAAGGATGGACACCTGCTGATAGATGGGGTACACCAACAACCTCCCGGGTTCTGCAGAGAGTAGGCCAGTACCCACGGCTCCGTGGCCACGCTGCCCTGCCTGCCTGCCTGCCGCCCCCGTCAGGAAGGCTGGGGCGGCACACGTTTTCCTCAGAGTGTGCCAAGGGAAAATGTCAGGCTGCAGCAGAGCACAGAAACATGCACGCATGTGCACACGCATGCGTGTGTACAGTCTACCACCAGCATATGGTTCTGCCTGCTAGCACAGCAGCACACAGAGCAAAGGCCAAGTAGACAACTAGAAGCAATTACGTTCCATCTGTACCCACAGTCAGGAACCAACAGACGGCAGGTGTGTGTGCTGCCAGACCTGTAACCCACTAGACCACAGGGCCAAAACAGTTCTGCTGCGCGTGACTGCCCCATGGCTGGAACACAGGGACTTCCTGCTCCATGAGCCCAGGAGGGATGCTGGGGACCTCAGGGCCTCGGGAGGGAGGGCCTGGCTCGACACCCCTCCCCCAGTTCTGCCTCACCCCCTGGTCTGCTGCGGCCTCTATCCCCTGGCTCTGGTGACCTCCTGTTCTCATAGTGGATGTGGCCAGATCCATGTGAGCAGCCGGGACAAGACAAACCTTACAAATTACAGTGATGCCCTGTCCGGGTAGTGGCTGCTTTGGAAACGGTGGAACCCTTTGGCCACAAAAGTCAAGGGAAAGTGGTACCAGATGCACCTCAGTGGCCTCCCTCGGCTGTGTGCGCTGCGTCGGGCAGCTAGAGATGGTGAAGAATAGCTACTGTGAGTACCTGCGCCCCCTGTCGGCGGTGCAGCACCCTGGACTCCTGTGAGTACCTGCGCCCCCTGTCGACGGTGCAGCACCCTGGACTCCTGTGAGTACCTGCGCCCCCTGTCTGCGGTGCAGCACCCTGGACTCCTGTGAGTACCTGCGCCCCCTGTCTGCGGTGCAGCACCCTGGACTCCTGTGAGTACCTGCGCCCCCTGTCGGCGGTGCAGCACCCTGGACTCCTGTGAGTACCTGCGCCCCCTGTCGGCGGTGCAGCACCCTGGACTCCTGTGAGTACCTGCGCCCTGTCGGCGGTGCAGCACCCTGGACTCCTGTGAGTACCTGCGCCCCCTGTCTGCGGTGCAGCACCCTGGACTCCTGTGAGTACCTGCGCCCCCTGTCTGCGGTGCAGCACCCTGGACTTTGTCAGGTCTGAGATCTGTGTGAGTGTCAGCTGGTGGTGCAGGGGCTGAGCGTAGCTGGTGGAGGTCTGCGCTGACGGCTGCCCCTCAACCTGAGCGCGTGAGAAGGGGCCGGCTCCTCACCTCCTCACAGCTCCCTGCTCTGTGCACAGGAAGTGGGATACCAGCATGGACGAATGGTGTTTGGGATCTGGGTTCGGAATGGTGTGCTAGAGAAGATGCTTCAAGACCAGCAGGGGACGAGCAAGAGGAAGGCCTGCGCGGTGGGAGAGGGCAGGGTCTCCTCTGAGGATGTGGGGCCGTGGGTCTGGTCCAGCCGAGGTCCACCTTGGACCGTGTTGGTGTGCTTGCGTGCTCACCCCAGCCTCTGGGTGGCCTGCACTGGAGAGCACACTGAGCAGAGGCTTCTCTCTGCCGTGCTTCAGGTCCTCACCTGCCCCAATGCCTCTTTCACGGACCTTGCTGAGACTGGGTCACGCATTGAGCCAGCCAAGGCAGCTGCCATGGTTGGTGAGTTGGACGCTCAGGGAGGGGCCTGCACAGGGCCTGGCTAGATCCAAGCTGCCCCACGGGCCTTCATTCTTGCCCTGGACGAAGTTACCCACATTTGGGCTACGGCAGCCAGTACTGCCCCATTCTGTGAAGACCCTGAGACCCGTGGGCTGGCACAGGTCTCCACAGCCGTGGGCAGCTCCCCCAGGCCTCTCATTCACACCGTAGACTGGAGGGAAAGCCACCTCAGCCTCCCGGGCCCAGCAGGGGATGGGGTGCAGACTGCCCAACTGCAAAGCCTGCAAGGACAGAGTGGCCGGATCCATGCAGAGGCTCTGCAGTGGGGGCTGTTGGCCAGTGGCCCACCCCACAGCAAAACAACATGTCCTGAGAGGTGCCCTTGAGGCTGTCCATAGCAAGAGGACCCAGACACTGAGCCTTCCGTGTGCTGGCCAGGGCACAGCGTCTGCCCATGGAGGCCTGTTACAGGCATCAGCCCCAGATCTGGTTGAAAGTGCGTGAAGAGGGCCAGCTCCTTCCATGTCTTTGTGGAGGACCCCCCAGTATTGGGGCGGAGGCTTCCCACGGCAAAGACATGTCTTGTGCCTCGGTGCCTGGCCTGCAGCAGCCGTTTCTGGCAGCCCGTGGCGGATGGCTGTCTTGTGGGAGAGGAGAAGCAAGTCTGTGGGCCTCCATTTCAGCCGTGACACAGCCAGCCCCCTGGGGAGGGGACCGCGCTGCCCTGCCTTCTGCTCCAGAGTCTGACTTCCAGACTGAGCGCGAGGAGGTGCCAGGTGTCCCCTGCGCGGGGAGGAGCTCCTCCAGGGCCGGCCTCCTGCGTGGCCCACCTGAGGGCCACCCTGGGCGTGTGCTCGGGTCACCGGGCCGCGGGGCCCAGGGCCAGCCTCGCAGGCCTGGGCGACCCTCTGGTTTGCTCCCAGGAGGAGGGGCCCCTCCCTGGGCGCCAGGACCCCCCGGACCCCCGCGCTTCCCCCACCCCACACATGCCCCGGGGCCTTTGCTGGACTGCCCGAGCGCGGCCCCCTCCCGCCCGCGAGGCCATTCCCCGGCCGGGCACAGGCGCGGGCGCAGGCCGGTGTCCCGCTTCCCCGGGTCCCGGGCTGGGTCCGGAGACCGGCGTGGGCTGGTCACTAAAGTTCCACCGGCGACCGGTGGTCGTGACAAGAGCAGGGTGGCCCGGCCATGTGGCCCAGGCCAGGCATGCAGGGTGCGCTGCCCCCCCCCAAGGCGAGCCCCCAGTACCCACGGCTCCGTGGCCACGCTGCCCTGCCTTCTGCTCCAGAGTCTGACTTCCAGACTGAGCGCGAGGA